GAGGAGGTTTGAGTGATGACACGGGCAGCTGAGTTCTGGACCATCTGCAGCTTCTGGAGAGATTTGTTGGGGAGGCCATAAAGAAGGGAGTTGCAGTAGTCGATCCGAGAAGTCACAAGACTGTGAACAAGGATGGCTGTGGAGCGGGGTGTGAGAGAAGGAAGGAGACGGTTAATATTTCAGAGATGGAAATAGGCAGACCGAGTGATATTGTTGATGTGTGAAGTGAAGGAGAGAGTGGTGTCGAGGATGACACCAAGACTCTTGACCTGAGGCGAGGGGAAAGCAGAGAGTTGTTACAGGGGATGAGAAGATGTTCTGATTTTGAAATAGTTTTTTGGTACCGACAAGACTGATTTTTGTTTTGTTACTGTTTAGTTGTAGGAAACTGTTAGAAAACCAATGATTTAGCTCATTGAGACAGTCGATGAGGATGGAGGGTGGGTGGGTAGAGTTTGGTTTTGTTGACAAGAGCTGTGCGTCATCAGCATAACAGTGGAAATGGACACCAAATTTGCAGAAGATGTGACCTAGAGGAAAGAGGTAAATGATGAAGAGGAAGGGTCCAAGGAAAGAGCCTTGGGGGACACCCGTGGAGACGGGGGAAGACTGGGAATGGAAGGATTTAAGCTGAATGAATTGAGTGCGGTCAGAGAGATAAGATCTGAACCAGTCTAACGGAGTACTTGAGATGCCATAATATCATAAATTATGTTTTTAATTCAACAACATGTTAAAAAGTCTAATTCAACAAATATCTTTGGGATGAGTCAAACATCTTGCTCACATAGTTAAGTGAGTGTGTACCTTAATATTTCCGTCCTGTGTGCAGGTTAAGAACAGGACGTGCCTCTAAATCCTGTTGTTTTTATTTCCAATTATTTATTCTTTTAGAGGAACATGTTAAGTAATCATTACAGAGCAATATTTGCAAAGGTGTAGTTTCCAAAAGCTCTGACCTCCATATTTGTTTGCTATGCAAAACCTTCATCAGCATGTGCTTTCAGCTTACATCACTTGAGCAAATCTTGGTCCGTGAGGTTAAAATTATTTGAATGTTTCCATCCACACCTTTGTTTAAATACTGTATGAAACTACCTTTAAATTAAAGGTTGACACGTGTACAGAGCTCAGATAATGTATATGGACTATAACATGATTTATAATATTGTTTATGTCTCCTAGTGTCTTTCTATACTTTTAAATAATGTCATCTGTCCATTTTTATTAAAAGCAGAAGGCCACAAAAGTATCACTCTAGCGCCTCTCAGTGCTAAAACATACAATTTGTTTTCAAGGAAGAATAAAAAAAAAAAAAAAATCAAACATTTCATCCGTGTTAAATGTATAGAAACTGTGTCATGATTTTATTGTAATGTTTTCAATAGTCAAATCCTCCCATATAAAACAGTTGCAGACATTTACTTCTTGGACGAAGGACAAAAATCTGTTGAGGTCATCTGTGAATAAAAAAAAAAAACATTCATATTTTTTATTAATCGTTCATTTCATGCTGAACATGCTTTCTTATCTAATTTTTCATTTTCCCCCACCAGGATGCTCTAAACTTGGTGAAACTTTATAATTACACACACACATATATATATATATATATATATATATATATATATATATATATATATAATATCATCTTCAGCCTTCAGACACTTCCTCTCAATATATTAAAAAAAACAACATTATAAAACTGCACTAAAATAAAGCTGAATCTGTATTCCTTAGTTTGAACTGGTGTTTGAACATAACGGTCTTATCTAGTATTCTTTCCTTTTACTTAAAAAAAAAGAAACATTTATGTTTAAACACGTGCTTCATTTAATATAATTTAAACAGAAACGTGTGCTTTTCACTTAAGTCTTTTTGTATTTTCTATTGACTCTTCTTGATTTGTACTCATGCCGCCATCTTGACCAGAACCTTGTAGATGACGTGATTATCTATATCAACATGACTGTCCTGGTAAAATAAAATTAATGAAATAAGAGGAACCGTGTAAGCTGAAGACAATTGAACACTATTGTCATCCAATGACATTTTTCTCAAGGTAAAACAGAAGTAAATTATATATTTAAAGTTTCAAATTAGTATAACATTTGCCTGATCTTTAAATTTTCAAATTAAAATGTCTTATTAGAACATGTTATGCTCCCTAAACCTGGGTGGAGTAAGAAGGTGGAGAGATTTATTCTAAATATCACTACAAGTGCTTATCAGTACCCAACTTTTCATTGTGTTCACCTCAATCAGCTTGTTTTTATAAAGTAGATGAATCTATCCATTTTTAGTTCAAGTTCAAGTTTCTTTATAGTCATTCACTTCACGTGTTGTACATGAGGTGGAATGAAATGGTGTACTCAAGGTCCCAGTTACACCCCAAAATAGCAAAAATGTAAAGTATAAAAAGAAACAGTATATAAGGATCTAAGATATACACTAAGATAAAGGCCAAACGAACGCTAAACGATACGCTAATATATCAAAGATATACGCTAAACACCAATAATGTAAAATAATATGGTATATTAAACAGCAGCCGGAACATGAGTCTGTGGTGAGTAGGTGGGTATGATTGAATACAGCAGCATGAGATCAGCAGCATAGATTTATTTTTTAGTGAAAGTACAGTATTTCCTTTATCTTGTGTTGAATTATATTAGGCTTTTGTTAATCTGTGGCCATAATTTCTCCACAGCGTCCCAGGTTGCCCATGTCACTCACGTCAATAATTCATTATTAATCATCTCAGGTGCTCTGACTCACTAATCAACCCTCCTGCAGATATATGCTCCATCTCTTCCTGTTTGAGTGTAAGTTCACTCAGTCCTGGGTTTTTAGGGGTCTTTGGGTCCATCTGTCCTTCTGGTTTTGTTTGTATTAAACACATCTTGATTCATACCTCCCTGCTTGTCAGTGTCTGATGCCCTCCCCTATTATAATTATACAACTGGACACATTTGTTCTTAAAAGCTGAAATTAAATTGTAGAACAGGTAAACAGGTCAAACCAGAAGCATCTGTGGAGTATTCCCAGTAAAATGTTTCATTTCAGAAGCACTGAAAACACTGTAGAAGTAAACTGGCTGTGAAGTGAAATATCAGTTTCTCACTCAGAAGAGAAGGGTGTTATAAGGGCGAGTAGCAAAAACTGTCAAGTACATTAAATATTATAGTGTAGTAATTTGTTTCTATTTTATAGGTACATTTGTCATGGGACTTTTCAGAACGTTACGAAGGTATTAAATTAACTGTAGCTCTTCAACTTGTGACTGATACCCAGTTATGTATTCCATTCAATGTTCTCATGTTTAAATTCCTCATATATATTTTTTTATTCATACTCTGACACTTGTTTTTAAAGTTACTAGTGTCTGAACTTTATCAAGTTCAAGTATCTTTATTATCCTCAAAGGACAATTTGTTTCACGGTCAGTAGGCACATAAAACATCCATACTGGACAAAATATTAAGACATTAAAATAACAACAGAAATCATCAGTTTGTTGAGAAGCCTGATCGCTACAGGAATGAACGTTTTTCAGTCTGTTCGTCCTACACATGGGCAACCTGTATCCATATGGGAGCAACCTGAACTCACCATGGAGTGGGTGATCAAGATTTGCCAGAATCAGCCTGGCCTTGTTCACCCACCTCGCCTTGTGTAGGTCAGTGAGGTTCTGTAGAGCTATGCCAGCAGTTTTGCTGCACATCCTGACAATCCCCGAGAGTTTGTTCCTGTTTTTACATGTCAAAAATCCGAACCAACAGATGAAGGTAAAAGTAAAAAAAAAAGACTCAATAAAACATGAATAAAACATTCTCATAAAAGTTTAATCAACATTAAAAGCACAGAGCTTCCAATAAAAAACAAAAACATTCTCTGGTGGGCCTTCTTCATTGAGTTCACATGGGGGTCAAAAGTCAATTAGTCATCGAGAACAGTTCCCAGATATTTACATATATTGATGCACCACCTCAACAGACTCACCGTGAGTGGCAACTGAAGTCTTTTCTAAAATCAGTGACCCTCCTTGAAGACTCACACCATTCTGTGAAGTCCCCGACCACAGGTCCAGGGTCTGGGTCATCACTGCTGAGAAGGGACAGGATGACAGTCATCAGCAAACTTTAAAATGTGAAGCGATGGATTCTGTCTGCAACAATAGTAAAATAAATAAAAGGGGCGAAAGATTGCAGCCCTGTGGGGAACTGGTAGAAGACAAAAGGACATCAGAGAGAACTCTCTTGACCCTCACCCGCTGACAGAACAGTTAAAAAAATCCACAAGCCAACACACGAGGCCAGAGTTGAGACCATAAAAGCACTAATTTCTCAGCTAAAATGTGAGGCTGAATACAACTGATGAAAAGTCAATAAAAAAAACAATGTTTTTGTACCTTCAAGATATCCTAAAATCATATTTAAACCATAGACGTTAAACCATAAATCATATTTTATCCCTGAATTTAAGTTTCCATGTCCATAAACATCTATTTGTATAACTTACAACTTATACACAGTTGTGGTCAGGGTAGTTTATCAAAGTGTGATGTCAGTGACAGCCGCTAGATGGCAGTACAGCTATTAAAATAACCAATCGGCTGTAGCGGCATCTACATCTCATATAAGTTTAAATAATAATAATAATTTACATCTAAATCAACAATTTATGATTCATTGTTATTTAGCAAAATTAGATCAAACCAAGTTATCTACACTTCAAATTAGTTTGCTTTGTTGATCTCTCTCTCTCTCTCTCTCTCTCTCTCTCTCTCTCTCTCTCTCTCTCTCTCTCTCTCTCTCTCTCTCTCTCGCTCTCTCTCTCTCTCTCGCCTCCCACCCCCTCCCCACAGTAAGACTTTGCAAACATTCTGCAGAAAGTGGCGCACGCACAGTCCAGCTCTGCTCTTCAATCAGCTGACAGCGCGCGCTATGTGGTGATTCAATCCAAACTTTCCAAGAAACTCTACCAGAGAAGACTCTGAAATGGGGTCCAGGTTGATGTGGACTTTGCTCGTCCTGTCAGTGGTCTGGGCTGCAAGGGGAGAGGACACATCAGGGACCCGGGGTCCAGATGGGGACATCCCGGAGGGCGCGTCCACGCTGGCGTTTGTCTTTGATGTGACCGGCTCCATGTACGACGACCTGGTCCAGGTCATCGAGGGAGCGTCCAAGATTTTAGAGACATCCCTGAGCAGACCGAAGAGACCTCTGTTTAACTTTGCTCTGGTGCCCTTCCATGACCCAGGTAATGCAAAGATTTCGAATATTTTTTGCTAAACTTGTGTTCCTGTGTCCTTTTTAATTTTATTTCATTCAAGTGTACTGTTGCAGATCAAAGCAATGCAAACAAAGCAAGTGTCAAATGTGCTGGTTTGTTCACCATCTAGATGTTCCTCTGGAGGAGATCAGCACCCATGTTTAACCTGATGGTCATTATAATTATCATTCCAGCAGTTTGCACAGCCTGATGGTTATCAGTCCTCTCAGACCAGTGCCTACTGGTCAATGGGTCAGTTAGCAGTTTGAGTTGGACAGTCATGTAAAACAATCCACGCTTAGCAACTAGGACCAATATGTGATGAGATTAGAGTCCTTAATTAAGTCCTTAAAATAATAATAATACTTTTTGTATAGCATTTATTGAACAAATGTTACAAAGTGTTATTCATCATTTAAAACAACAACAACAAAATGACACCAGAAACACAAAAAGTATACCGCATTAATTAAAATACATAACAATATAAGACAAAATGAAAATAAAAATAGGAAGAAATTCAGATATTAAAAGCCTTATTATGCAAGTTTTAACTAATGATTTAAAAGAAGACAATGAAGAGGTCTGTCTAATATTTAGAGGAAGAGCAATTCCACAAATTAGGAGCCCTGACCATAAACGCCCTCCCTCCTTCTGTCACCAGTCGAGCCCTGGGAGTGGAAAGTACTAACAGATTGAAGGATCTTTTAAGGGGTAAGACGCTCAGATAGATATGATGGTGCAAGACCATTCAGGGATTTAAAAACAAACAATAAAATGTTGAAGTCAATTCTAAAACCCACAGGGAGCCAGTGCAGTGAGGTCAGAACAGGAGGGATGTGCTGATATTTATGGGATCTTGTGAGAACTCTAGCTGCAGCGTTTTGTATTAGTTGAAGACGATTAAGAGAACTTTGGGTGTCCCTCATCTGGATGCATCCAGATGGTTAACATCTGAGAGTTTTTTGGTGATGAAAGCCAACTGGTGTATAGTGAGGGCCACTTCCCTGCCTTCACATCTTCAAATTAAAGGTCGAAGTAGTTTGAAACTATAATCTGGTTGCAAAGATAAAAAAGACACACACTGGGCGAAAACATCATTATTTTCCTCCTCCAAACGTTGGGAGATAATTTGAAGAATGAAGAAAACAAATTGACAGATAAAATGTAAAGAAATCAAAATTTGTCATCCAGATGTTTTTTTTTTTTTTTGTACGGATTTTTAGCAATTTTCAAAATCCCATGAATCAAACTTTCTTAATCCTTCATTTAGTCCGGAAGGTTTGTGCCTGTAAAAACAAATAGCTCCAGGAAGAAACAGGTTCAGTATAAACTAATGTAAAAAAAAAAAAAAAATGAAACATAAAGTTTTAATTTTTGTGTCTCTGTGTTTAAAGTAAACCGTAGAACATCAGCAGATGATCGAAGCGCTGTGATGAACTGAGTTTCAAACTTGACGAACGAATGATTTTTAACACTTTCAGCACGTTGCTCCACTTTGGAAATAAAGTTGACGTATTTAAAGTAAAATACATAAAGTGGAGTTGGAGTTTTAGCGTCAGCTCCTCTTCAGAGACATCTCATCTCTGCGTTTGTCCTTCCCAAGCAGGTGACTTTGGTTTGTTAGCTTTTCAAGATGTTTACAAGGATGTCAGAATGCCCCCCCCCCCAGGGGTAGCAGAACATTTTTCCAAATGTTGTTTTGACCCTGCCCTCTCCGTTTCTCTTGTGTCCTCTTACAACAACACCCCAGCTCCTCAGAAGGAACGAGGTTTGTTTTCACTTAAATATGTGTTTTATTGTGAAATATTTTCTTCTTCAAACTCGGTGAGATAATGTCGTCCCTCCTTTTAAATCAGAATCTCCCTCTTTATTTACACTGCAGTCTGACCAGTAAACATCCCGGTGTGTGTGTGCGTGTGAAGTAAAAGTGTCAGGAGGACGCCTGGACATTGGGGTCAGGCCTGTGTGGGAAGATAATCAGGAAGCCCCCTCCTCCCCCTTTTCCTCCATCCTGCAGGGAGAGAAAGAAGGAAAGAAAGAAGATCCTTCACAAGTTATTTTACTGAGGAACAGGGCTGTTTGAAGAACGTAAGCTTTTCCAGGAAAATGTAGAGCTAAACTTATGTGACAATGCAGCGTTATTTCATAACCTGCTTGTTTTTCTTAAAAACAGATCAGACAAGTCGACACAAACACGTCCAACAAGGTTATTACTGATGTTCAGCACTTTGTTTCAGCTGTGGCTGATTTTAAAGCGCTTTATAAATAAAGGTCACGATGATGATGATGAAAACCCCACTGGCCTACTACTGCTGGAGACTCAGCATTGTTTGGTAGCCTCCCCTGACTTCATGATTTGATCTACCAGAGTAAACTTTTAAAATGAACATGTGCAAATTTCAACCAGTTTTTATTAATTATTACTCATCTTTGACATGTTTTTTTTTTTTTAGACCTGGATGTGTTTTCTGTAGAAGAAGAGCTCCTGTGCAGGGGTCACAATACAGTTGTTGTGTCTTTGAGACAAGTTGACAATTGCTGCAACAAATATGAGAGAGGTTTGAGACACGTGTGGCAACTCAGACAATTTGTGGAGAAAATGTGTTCACATTTTAGGAGACAAGCCTGTAAGCCTCCGATACTCCAGAGAGGAAACTGAGACATCGTGCAGACACCACTGGGAGCGCCATCTGCAGTGACGATTTTAGACTCTTTTGGAGGGTGCTCAAACTCCTAAATTTTAACTCAGCACCCCAGAAAAATAAATTTTTATTTATTTATTTTGGGCAGTTCTGGTTTGGGATTTGGGTTCTGTTTATTGCATTTTTGATTCAATGCAACAAAATAAACCAATTTAAATGGTAACAGATCATTATAATATTTGGTTTATTTACATAATGACTTTAATTGTTGGATGTATGGCCCCAGAGCCACTGGCTTTCAGTAACTGTAATAAGGTTGAATATCCTGCTTTAGAGGGTGGAATACAGTTTATTCCATTTCCTAAACTTAAACTGTGTCCGGAAAAAATGTAAAATATGGATAAAGCCCTGCAGCCTACCTCATGAGCAGCTGGATACAACAGTGATAAACAGGAAGTGCTGCATGTTCATCTGTACAAAGGTCACTGCAGGTATGCTTAATGGTTAAATTAAAGGTTAATGCTTAAAGCAAGTTGTGCTTTATTTTGTGTGTTTTGTATGTAGATGTATGTTGCAACTCCTGGTTGCATAAGTTTAGTCTTTGTTATGATCAGTTAACACTAAACTGATTTTGTACAACGTGTTTATTAGGTTGTGTAATGTAAAGGAGAGCGCTACGTCTGTAGCATCTTAGCTAGCGCGTCTGTATTGCACGGTGCTAGCTTAGTGCTACTTCTTTAGGGCTAAGCACCCCAAAAGGTCAGCTTCTAGAATCACCCCTGGCCATCTGCAAACTAGTTTCCAGCAGTTGCTGCCCAGTCAAGTCAAGTCAAGTCATATTTATTTATAGAGCACAATTTAAAACAGATAGACTGTTATCAAAGTGCTTAACACTAATGGTAACACTGAGAAATAAAAAGTGGGATGTTGCTTGAATTTTAACATGTTCAAAAAAATGAGTGCAACAAATTTAACATTTTAAAATATTCACAGAGTCCTTGCAAGTGTCTCTAACCCTTCTCAAATCTTTTGTGAATGTCTCGAACTTGTTTCGAGAGTGAGCTGTAATTTGACATCTGCAAAGGAGCTCTGCTATGACAGAAAACCCTTCCAGGTCTAAAATCCACACTGGTGATAAATAATAATGATTAAAATGCTGGTCTAAAGCTACATACTGTATCTTCATTTCAAACGTGTACTCCATTAGAAAGAGCGTGGGGGAAGAAAGACACACTAGAACTCTTAACTAGAATGAAGTGTTCTCTGTTTGGGAAAATTCAGTTTCTACTGTCCTGAAGCCATCTTGGGTTATTTCTTGTTTCATTTTTATTGAATATTTCAGTCACTTGCAGTCACTCGGCATCAATAAAACCTTTTTGTTCAATACTTTATTCTGCAGTTAAGTCTCGGCCTTGGCTGACAGCTAACCGATGCAGCAGGTTTCTAAGGGTTGTGATGAATGTATGAGAGTTCTGCTGCAGAAAATACACAACTGCTGTTTTCACTCACCTGAAAGAGTTCAGTCTAAAAGTGCTTTGTCTTGCTTTAAAGCTCAACTTAACATGGTATTACGTTTCTACTTCAGGAGCAAAGGAGAACACGTTATTGACACAATATGATGTTAAGACTTTAAAATTCAATCTGCACCAGCTTGCTGGGACTTGTTTGGTTTGGATTTCGTGTTGTTTCTGCTGTGGAGGCCGGTTTTTCGCAGCTGATCGCCTGCCTCACTCACATCTTCCTGTCGCTTGTTATTAGCTGGAAGGAGATGGCCGTGGAGTGATGAGAGGGAATGGTGGGCTAGTTTCTACCTTCTCTGGAAGATCAAAGACGCTCCTCTCAAAGCTTCCTTTGTTGGTGTTGCTGCGTCTTTTCCTCCAACTGCCTTTTTTCTTTTGTTTCCTTCTATCTGGACCATTTTTTTTGTCTTCACCACTCCGCCCGTGTGAGATTACAAGGAGCCTGCATTTAGCTGGACAGAGTCAATAATGATGCTATTAGGTAGGAATGCCAAAAGAGAGAGGTGGAGATTTTGAAAAGTTGGAGGAGGAGAGGGGAAGGGAAGTGCAGTGAGTTTTAATACGTAGTTTTATGTTCATAGACCTACTTTGGAATCTTAAAATAGTTTTTTTTTTTAATGACTGCATCTCATCTTTTTAATGTTGCCTAAAGTTCTCTTAAAGTACTCCTAGCTCCATCAGGCTTGTCTGTCATCATATAGAGGTACATGAAACATCTACGCTGCTTTCTTTAAAAATGCGCTGCTTTCAAACTTGAATAAAGCAGTTTTAGAACTTCCAAGGGTTATGCAATAAAATGACTAGGTTTAAGTGCAGTCAATGG